CTTGTGAATGTAGACAGGAACAGTTTTAGTTCAGTGCTCCACTATGGTAAACACAGAATAATTTACACCATTTTAAGAAAAATGCAGATTCAGACTATTATATACATATATCTAGGAAAAGATGATGAATTTGGAGGGGTTAATTTAGAAATTATTTACTGTGAAATCTAAATGTAAGCTTTAAGTCTATTCATGTATCTAGCTACTGAAACTTCAAGGAGACTGTATCAATTCAAGCAGAAAATGGTTGTATTTAATTGTTTTTATTGTCATGTGTATCTCCATCTGTCATACATAACAGGGGAAAAAAGTAAAAGATTTTACAAAAATTATTATTTTTTAAAACTTAATTTCTGTAAACCCCTTATATATATTTCAATTTTGTTCATGTTTTGAGGAAATATTCAGTTTTAAAGTGACTTCTCAGCAGTTAAATTTACATTTATTGACTTTTTTCACCCCAGAAATAGCATTTAGAATAGCCATTTAAAATAGCCATTTCCGATTCTTAATTGAATTACGTTACTGCCATGCTCAGTCCAAATTTTATTCAAATAGATTCATTTTTTCAGAAAAGTAAACCAACTGGTAGCCAAACATAGACTTTGGACATGAACCCTCAAACAACTATATGGATGAGAAACTGAATACGTAGGCATAATCCAGTTTCATTTGCATTGCAAAACGAGGTATCTTAGCTGCCCACCATTAGGAAGCAATGTCTCAAATGTTTGTACTCAATAAGTTAGGATGATATTTAAGCAATTTTGCAAGTATTTCCTGGAGCTGCAATTTGCTTTGATCAAAATTTAGCACAATTGAAAATGTTGAATTTTAATTTATTAGGGAACTTGTTCTTATTATCTAAATGAATGGCTTAGTAGAAGTCTTGCTTTAGTAAGATTACCATACAGAAAATATGCATCAAACATTAGTCATATTCAAGGACCTTGAGTAATGAATCCAAGTAATTAATTTTATAATTTACTTTTTAATAACAGCTTACCTCAGAAGATTTCAATGCTTGTGCTTTAGTTTATAAGTAAAAAACTTTATCTGTCAGGCTATACTACAACTTCCTACCTGTAATATGCATCCAATATGGCCACATCAGTTTCATGTCTGAAACCTTCACTGTTTAACGTTAGTCACTTTTGCTGCTGAGGTACTCTAAGATTTGAAATGCCAGCAATCATGTCAACCATGTTTTCGAAAAATAACTCATTTTCATTTTAGTTATGTACACCTCCACAACAATAATCCAGTTGAATCATACTTTTTAATACAAGTACCTTGCTACATTTCAAGCCATTTATAAAATTGGAAGTCTTGAAGAACTGCACAACCAATTTGCAGGCCAGAAGGTGCACTCTGATTCATCCCAAAATTAATGTTAATAACTGGGCTTTCATAAAAGAACAAACAAATAGTTTATGTGGTCTTTTTATGATCATTGGTCTTTTTGTGATCATTTGCATAGTTGAATATTTCTGGGTTTTTTCCAGTTTGGCAGTGATTAGCTCTTCCAAGGTCTTCGTGACAAACAACAACTGCCTAAACTCACAAAAGCCCTTTTAAATTTTAGCTATGTAAACATGGTAAAAGAACTAAGAATTTTACTTTGTTATTGGAATTAAATTTTTAGAACAAAAAGTCTCTGGTTTTAAGGTCTCTTCAGTGGTAAAACAATCTTGATTAATTACTCCTTTTTCTCTGAAACCTGTGGATGCTTTACCTTAATAATTATTTTGAAACAAGTAAAATTGCAAGCATCAAAAATAATAAATATTTTACAAACTCTTCTTAAAATCTCTAACTCACAGGATAAATTGGCATTGCAATCTAGTAGTTGCATAGTCTTAGACACTTGATGTTTTTGAAAAATCTAGTGAAAGATCAAGGCAGTAAGGTTCAGCTGCACCTGTGACACTGTAATTCCATCTGGTTTGTACACATCAAAATGGTACACAATTCCATTTTCAGTACACCTGATTTGCTTTCAAGAACAATGAAAAGGAGTGAGATAATGGTAATATATGGGTCATTTTCCACAGGAAAATAATTCATTCTCAGCTTGTCAACTCTTCAACCAACATTCTTTTCACAAAAAGAAAAAAACAACTCAGGTGGCAGTCTTTTCATCCTAGTGGGTTATTAAGCCTCTAAAAGGTATCATTTTGTTATGTAATCTCACTACCCATAAACTATGAAAGGAGTTTTTGCTGATTAAAAAAACGACAAAATTTCCTCAACATGCACATACATAAACAAATATAATCCAGAACCAAATGCCAACGTTGTTCCATTGGTTTTATGAATCTTTTCATTTCCCAAAGGCTGTATTTCAGGAACCAGTAAACTGAGCAGAAATTAGTAGCTTGCACTTCTCTCTCTCAATTCTGAATATTCAGTTTCAGCAGGAACATGTGACTGGTTTTGCTTGTAGTGAAATGGTCATTTTGATTTGCTCTATGTCAAAAAAGAGTAATTTTAAAGGTCTGGTGTTCATGAATCAGCTATGCATAAAGAGGTTTCTCTATAAATACAGAACTGAACTTTTGGCCTTTTTACCTGATTCAGGCTATTTACCGAGTTTTCTCTAGCAACCTCTATAACAACTGATATTCTTTGATCAGTGGTTTGCCTGCACAGATGCTTCTTTCTTCGTGAAGTCTTGATTCATTCTTTTCCAATGGAAGCTGGAGGTGTAATTTTATTCAGTTACACTTACAGTTTTGATTTCACATCCTTTGCACCTACTCCATTCTCTTGCTATTTTATTTCCTCTAAAAGATTCACTTTTTACAGTTGTCTACTCCAACTCATGTTCCTTTGAATTCACTTCCCTAACTACTTCCTTTTGAGCTATACTTGAAAGAGCTTGAAGGTTCAAGTCTTTTCTTTTTATTCCTTATTTTGTATGTTTCATTTCTCGCTAGAATTTCACTCATCTCAAAGTAGGTCTTGGTTATAATTCTGTAAGTCAGGGAATACAGTTAATAGAATCCTCTCTTATTTGTGTAAAAAATAAGTATTTTAACATTGTAAATTATTAAATACCTGAAGTATATTTCTTTCATTAAAAAAAAATCTTGCTACTCCCTTTGAATCTGAATTTATATTGTTATGTTTATCATTCATTAAAAGGTATGTTCATAGTACCATTTCTTAACAGTACAGAACTACATAATCTAACTTCCCATCAAAGTACTACAGAGTTGCATATAGTAAATTGAAAAAAGAATATTATAGTTGAAAATATTCTTGAAGCCATTTTTTTTAAGGATAAAGCATTTGCCACAAGGACTGTTGTACTTTCGCTTTTGAGGCTATATGAGATGAAAAAATATATTAAGGATTGCATCTTCAAATATCACAAGGAGCACATTTGGTTTGGTTTTAGGTTTAACTATATTTTATTTAATTATATCAGTTTATCTGTAATTTTACGTGCCTGGATTTCCAGTCTGCTTGGACAAACTTGGTCTTTCTTTCCAAATTTATATTTTCTTCAGAGAGAATTGCCTTCTCATCTTTTAAACAAATGCTGCTGACAGTGAGGAAATGCTAAAGCTCATTTAGAACAAGCTGTCATTTAACTTTTGTTATCTGTTTTTTCCGAATATTATCTTTGATTCTTCTGGTTGATTTAATGTCTGACTCATACTACAGTGATGTTTTGTGAATCTTTGCTTTGATAATGCTCTTTCAAACGTTACAGACATGGTCTTCTCATAAGTAAAGACTGGCAACTCTGGATTCTGCTCAGTTATTTACATCTTCATATCCCACTGTCATCTTCAAAAATATAAAAAGACCTTGGCCTTGAAAGCATTTAATTTTACTGATGAAAAAGATGAATGGAATCTGGAAGCACACTCTGATTTTGGATGTTCAGCTCCCATAGAGTTTCATTATGGATGAGGTTGAGCTTTATTTTGAGTGACACAAGGTCTGGCTATATAGACATGCTATTCCTGCCTCTTAAAGGCGGAAGAATTGCAAGTCAATCTCAGATTTAAAAAACTGATTCTGCACAGCACCTCTGAATACTTTTACGAAAAAATAGATGCTGGTTTCTTCCTTCCTATGGTTCTCCATAACACTCAGCAAAGTTTCATTATAGATAGTGGATTTTGTTTGTTTCTTTGTGAGATCTTCAAAGGAAGACCTGTAATAAAATTGTTTCCAGTGTTCTTTGCCAAGATAAGGTTATAGATTTCTGGCGATAAAAAACTAGGAATGTGATTCATTACTCTCAGAAATCTTCTCTTCCTCTCTTGGATACTCCATACTAATAGACCATTCTACAATGAAGATTTTTTTCTGGTTTGGTTTTTTTGGTTGGTTGGTTAGTTAGGTTTTTTTCTTTTAATGAAGGTGGAATTTAGAAAATTATTAACAGTTTAAAGTTCACTCAGATTTGTTTTTGGCTTCTTGCTCAGGCAAAAACAGTATTAACACTGTAAAATGGTATTATCAATTCAACATTTATAACCTCATTCTGCTTTCGAATCCTGGTAAGATCAAAGATCAGTTAGCTAAATATTATTAGTGAACTGCAAAAATATCTAAATAATTATCTTCATTGACAGCCAAATTTCTGAAAAAAAACCCCAAAACACCAAACTTGTGAAATATTTAAATACTTAAATAATTGAAAATACTTTATGCTGTTTAAATATTGTAGTAATTATAGTAGTGCTTCTGTTGTGTTGAGCACTTCTTACACAGCTGCTGTGAGATACTGTAGATATATTTTCAGATTTACTCAGAATTCAAGGCTCCGAACACAAGAAAGCTTCTGTTGTTGAAATATGACATGAAGTTGGTCCAGATTTTGATATAGAAATGAAAACATAAATATGAAGAAACATTTATAATCATTAATAAAGGATTTGTTCAGATATTTGTCCTAAAAGTGTCAATTTGTGGTCATATATTTCAATGTGTCTTTATTTTCCAAAGTAATTGTACTGTGTTTTATTTATGTATTTTAGGCACAGAAGGGGCAGTGTTTGGGCACTCTGTGGAGACACCTCATATCAGAGCAGAACCTTCCCAAGACCTCAAGTAGGTGTTCAAAAAGTTGTTTTAAAATCAAATATTCTCAAAAATAATTAAGTTTGGATTAAAAGCAGAATATCTGTATATTAATATATACTGCTATTTAATGACTCATACATATCCAAAACACTGGTAGACTCTAGTTTGTTCTAACTAGTCAAAAAACCCACACAAAATCCTATCACACAAAATGTAAAATACATTACTTTTTATATATGACTTTATATATAGTCATAGCAGAATCCTAGAGAAGTATATTTTACCTAGAGACTGGAATATTCAGGCATTTTTAAGGTCAAACATGAAAAGTACTGTTCCATAGCATCAGACCCAGAGTTTGATTTTTTATGAGCTGTTACAGAATATATAAGCCAAGTTAAACTCTCCCCAATTTTCCATCAAGTAGTGTGTCTGGGTGGTTGGGTTTTTTTGAATACTACAAATACAGTTAACAATGGAGGCTACATTTGTAAATGTAAAAAATACAAAGTTTTCTGGACATAGTCGCTAAAGTGGAGAAATAAGTAAATTATAAAAGATCAAGTTAAAAACTTACTGTAAAAACAGTTGTAGACCGAGAAAGAGAAAACTTAGAAAAGTTTATAGTGAAAACTTTTTTTTGAAGTGCATATGTGCACTGGTAAATACTAATCTGTGATTTATATGTATGAGAATATGTGACAATCACAGAAAATCAAAGATCCTTCCTTAATTAATTAATTGCTATAGAAAAGCATGGTTAAATGCTCTTACCTACATTTGCAAAAGCATTTAGGATGTTGCAAAAATCATTTGCAGGAAGCTGCCCCTGTGGACAAGTTTGACTGTTGTACATGGAGTATATGAAGTAAATTATTGTGTTTGATTATTTACACTAAAAATTTTAAAGTAATGTATAGCTTTGGGGTCTTCCAGAGGATTCTACTCACTAGATTTTTATCTTAAAAAATTCTGTCCCCTTGCAAGATTCCTGTCAGTGCTTTGTGGAAAGTAATTGTAAAGGCATTTATTAGTGATAACCACCAAGGTGATATGGTCTCTAATCAGAAGGAGTTCAGCAGAAATCAAAGTGAAAACATAACAAGCTTTTCTTTTTTCAGAGTACCAAAACTTTGGGTAAGAGACTGGAGCTTTTTCCACTCGAAAGAACATGGAGATACTGCTTTATATACTTTTTTCTAATTATTAAATAATATTAACAGACCAAAAATGTATGATAAAACAGATAACCTTGTGTCTTCAGGTTTAATTTAAGGAGGGATAAAATCACCTCATGTTGGTTCTGAAATTTACACATGCAGCATTCACCCTTCCAGTCTTTTGTCTTTATTCATTGCCATGATTTCCACTGTTGCTTAATGTTTTCAACTCCACCATTCCTTCAGCTTATTTTTCCAAAATAGACTTAAATTAGTAAGCATTTTCTGTTCAACTTTCTGCCCTCTCATTAACAATTAATGTAACCCAAACTTTTTGTTAAAAAAATTGATGAAACAGGAACCCTTGCTGTTTGGTCAAGCAATGTTAGCTAATGTGTAAGTGATTTTATTCTTAATATATTCAGTCCCTATTGTGTTCTGCAAGTTTTTGTACTTATGTGCTCCTATACATTAGCTGGGATTCAGTGATATTCTTTTTGAAATCTTCCAAGTCAATTTAGTAATTTTAAAATGATGACAATTAACATTAGAACAGTGGTTTCTTGGCTACTGGCACAAATCTTTGTAGCAGGTATAATCTGCAGAACCTTTTTAACCTTTTATCTTGAAAGAACTATAAATAATTACAGGTTTGTGCTGTTTTCTGGTAGCAAAATACAGTTAGACACTCAGATCATATATTATTTTCAAAATTCCAGTTGCCATCTGCCCTTTAGTCTTATTTCAAATGGTTAAACCCAAACCCATTGTTCTTTTTATTGTGGTTCAAGTCCTGCATTAATTTTCCAAAATAATATATTCAATTTTTTGCTAATATAAAAAAGCAATCATTTATAATTTAGATGACTGTTTGCCCAATACACCCAAACAGATAGGCCACAACCAGTGTGACCTCAGAAGGTACCTCTGTCACAGAAATAAAAAATACTAGAACCCATTTTCTGAGCTCATGTTCAACTGATACAATTACACTGATGTTGTAAAATCATCCTATCCTCTGAAACAGAATAGTTGCATCCTAAATGCCAAGAGGAAATGGTCTTTGACTCATGCTACCCTCCAAATAGTGAAAATTGTTTGTAAGTGTTGTGGCTGACTCTTAATTGACTCAGATATTTAGCTGTCTGGATTACTGAGTTCCAGTGGTCTGGTCTGGGTCCTAGCACTTTTTCATGTTTTAGTATAAATTTCCCAAAGTTTCCAATATTGGCAGTCCTAAAATGACATAGAGTATTTTTCTGAGTGTCTACATCCCTGTGCCTCTGGACATTTAAAATTAATGGTAACATGAGAGAGTAGAAAGTTTGCTGAATTAACATTGAAGTTCATTTTTACCAGTGGACAAACTTGAATGCAATTTGATAGGAAGTATATTTGGCTATGAAAATAATTATATACAGGGCTGAAGTTAATAGAATATACATTAGATTTTTAATTAAAACATAAATAATCCCATAATTTTCATGTTGGAATATGTACTTGTGGTCAGGTAATAAACCTCAGATATCAGATTTTTTTTTATTTTTCTTCAGAATAAAATGTGCTGAAAACCTATTCATAGCCTTAGAAATGTAAAACAATTCACTACTGAATTTAAGAAATGGAATACTGACCACCTTTATTACTGTGAATGAAACATAACTTAATGTTTTCTGGACAGGGGACAAAAAGAAAAGGTCAGATATTAGTGTCATATATCCAAACTTTGCCTCAACCACTCTTTGTTCTTTAGCCAGATTTTGTGGTTTTCGTACAGAGAAGCATACCTGAAATGTACTGTTAAAAGTGTGTTGTGTAAAAATAAAATTTAGTTGAGTTCTAATATATTTCCTTCCTATGTGTCTACCACTTTAGTCACATCTTTCTCATTTCTTGCATTTTCAAATAATAGCTAGCAAGGCTTTGCTTTCAGAAAATGTTTTTATACAGTCCTTTGTGAAGGCTTTTGTGTCAAATCTCAAAAACTAATTAAAGCTGACTTTCATTAGTTGGGATAAGCAGCATAAAAGAATCATGCATTAGAATCAGGAAGATGCATTATATCTTAATAATTTAATCTTCATATTTCTTTCACTACTTTTTCTCACAGGAACACAGTTAGGAAAGCTAAACTGTTAATATAATCCCTAAATATTGATTTTAGGCTAATAGTACATTAAAACATGGTGCACTAATAGAAAATATCCATGCAGAAAAGAGACAGACTAGTTAAATGCAGATAGCTTTGCCCTCAATAACATCCTTAATAAGGGGATAAATTAATTTGTTGTTGTTCTCTGGGGGTAGCTGCAAGATCAACTTTATTAGTTCTTTTTCTGTGTCAAGCCTCGCATACTGTTAACTATCAGCTAGTCCTGCAATGTAATGCTGGGCACAGAGATGAAAATTTTCACTTCTAGTGAAATGGATGAAAATAACGGATTAAGAGAGTCATCTAGTAAATTAGACCCCTTAGTCTGAACTCACTAATATGCAATGCTGTATAATATTATTTTGAAAGAATCATTAAGGGCTTGAAAGTAAGTAAAAACTGGGATGAAATAGCAGCTGGGTAAAATCTACTAATCTAAAGAAATATTCTTCTCTTGATAAGATACCTGATCTTCTAGAGAACAGAAAATAGGTGGATCTTTGATCTGGAGTTTAAGTAAAGTATTTCTTATAGGGTTATATCTAATGCAAAATAAAAACACACCACAGAGAAAAGGATATTCAAAGAAGCTTTAAGTGGTATATAATATGCATGCATTGTTCAAAACCCTTCTTCAGCCTGGAGGGAGATTGCAAGGAGAGTTGTTTCAGGTTTGATCTTATTTTCAGTTTTAATAACATTCTTTGTGCTAGAATGAGGTACAGAGGTTTGAAGCACTGGAAATCAGATCTTGAACACTAGATTTAGGAAATTTTGAAACTCAGTAGTATGATGGTGAATATTAGATGAAATATTAGATAGTCATTAGCATGATGTCTCTCAGACACAAGAGTTTCTGTAATTGTCTTTCAAAAGGAAAAACAGGAACAATTAAAATTCTTTATTATCAGTGGCTGCTTTATAAAATCGTAGAATCATTAAGGTTGGAAAATGCTTCCAAGAATATTGGGCCCAGTCTTTGAAAGAACACCACCTTGTCAGCTAAACCACAGCACTAACCACCATGGCCAGTTGTTTCTTGAACACTTCCAGAGACTCCACCACTTCCCTAGGAAGCATGTTCCAATGCTTAACCACTCTTTCAGGGAAGAAATTGTTCTGGATATCCAACCTGAACCTCCCCTGGCATAGTTGAGGCCACTTCCACTTGTCCTGTCACTAGTGGTCTGGGAGAAGAGGCTGACTGCTCCCTTACTACGACCTCCCTACAGGTAATTGTAGAAAGTGATGTGGTCTCCCCTGAGCCTCCTTTTCTCCCAGCTCCCTCAGCTACTCCTCATATGTCTTACATTGTAGTCCCTTCACCAGTTCTGTTGCTCTTCCCTGGACTCACTTCAGCACCTCAATGTCTTTCTTTCAGTGAGATGCCCAGAACTGGACACGGTGCTTGAGGTGTGGCCTCACCGGTGCCATGACAGGGGAGCGATCCCTTCCCTGGTCCTGCTGGCTACACTATTTCTGATACAGGCCAGGATGCCATTGGCCTTCTTGGCCACTTGGACACACTGCTGGCTCATGTTCAGCAGCTGTCGACCAGCACTCCCAGGTCCTTTTCTGCTGGGCTTATGAATAGGTTTTCTTATGATTATGCTTGCTTATGATTATGCCATGCCATGGCTTCAGGAACCCACAGATGGGCTCCAAGAGTATCTGTCTCAGGCTATATGGGCTTATGATTGTGATTATATTACCCT